ACCATCTCACTACTCTCACTGCCACATCATCTCCCTTCTCTCAATGCCACACCGTCTCACTGCCATACCAACTCTCCGTTGTCTCTGCCACACCATCTCGTAGCTCTCTATGCCATACCATGTCACAGTTCTCATTGCCACACCATCTCCATGCTCTCATTGCCGCAATTTGTCCATAGGCGTAGGCAGGGTCGGACATATAGGGGCAATGCCCGACCTGACTGTGAGCTGACCTGTGGGCAAGGGCAGAAGCTTGGGCAAGACTGAGTGTATCACTGTGTGTGAGACTGTCAGACTTTCATTACCACAGTTGTAATTGGACACTGGAACTTTACTGTCAGTCTGTGACTGTTACTCAGCCTGAGGAGTGAGGAAGAAGCTGAGAGAGCCAGAACTTTAGCAGCAGCCATTTTATTCAAGTTATGAATTGTGATAACAAGTTAATTATTTAGTGACGCCCAAGTTAATTATTGAAATAGCGAGCAAACGTCAATCTTTCATGCTGTTTGCACATATATCTTTTACATATAGAAAGAGATTTGTCTTCCAAGCTCTGGGACTGCTTAAACTAAGTAGTCATCAAGTTTGCTGTCTCTCACAAAAACATCCAGTGATTATTGTCCTCATCCTCAGAGTTGAGTTTCCTCATTTTTTTGTTAACTGTCTTTTCAAAGCCACCATACCTGATTACAATAAAACAATAATAATTGCATGCATGATGCATGTTAGATAGTGCAAAATCTCCATATTTTGGGCGGCAAAAGGGGTGTGGCCAAAATTTCAGCACGCTTCACGCTTACCATTTTCTCCTTGCTCGACCTTTCCTAGTCTGCCTACGCCCATGAATATGTCAGTGCTCTTACTGCCACACAATCTTCCAGCACTCATTGCCACACCATCTCCCTCCTCTCACTGCCGCAACAACTCCATCCTCTCCTTGCCATACCTTTTCCCTGCTCTAAATGCGTCACCATCTCCATGCCCTCTCTGCTATATCTTTCTGCTCTCACTGCCACACCAACTCCCAGATTTTGCCACCCCACTATCTCCCTGCTCCCACTAGCCCACCATCTGCTTGCTTTTACTGCGACACAAACTCCCTGCACTCATTGCTTTTCGAACTTCCGGCTTTTACTGCCTCACCATCTCCCTGCTCTTA